TCGACTTGACCCAGTACGATGCCCTTCCCCAGGGACTGGCCTCTCCTGACAACGTGTTCAAAGTACGGGAGAGCAAGCCTCACCATCCCTGCCTCTAAGGAGCACTCCGGCCCTGCTTTTTCCAAGACAGATCCGTTTGGCCTTTCGGCAGTCATGGGACTCTGAATCGTCCGGCACCACAGTTTAAAGGTGTGGTTCGACTTCAGGGAACCTACGGTTCAAATTTCAGTGCGTGGAGGTACCAGGACCTAAACTCAGCCAGTCTGTGTGACCGTGAGGTGCCCCCAGACCGGCATATCAAGGCCGCGGGGCTGGCACCGTTTGGCCCACTGACCCCGAGGAGAGCCGTTTCCATGCACGGGGCCGTCACTTGTGTTGGCTAACGTGATGCGTAATGGACGGAATGACATCACACTCCCATCGTGTGGAATGAATGGAAAGTGAACTTGGGCCTGGGGTTCACATGGAAAATGAATTTAGGCCTGGAGTTTGCTCTGCTCTGCCAGCCCCGTGGCCGGAGGGAGAGAGGGGCACGTGCTTTCCCCTCTCCACTCAGATGTCCTCTGCCCTCTGCTCCCCTTTAGTCTCGTGTTTTCCAGATCCTTCCTGAGAAGGGACAGAGACAGAAAAGGCTCAGTCAGCACTCGGGCCTCCCTCGGGCCTCCCTCCTGGCTGGAGCAGTGCTTGCCCCCACCGACCCCGAGGGGACACTGGCCACCGCTTTTCCTCCAGCTGGCCAAGCATCTGCGTGGGCCTGTGACTCAGCCTTCTCTGTCACAGCACGGCCAGGCTCACCCCCGCACACACCCCTCCCCGAGGCCTCCCTCCCTCCCTCCGGCCACCGTTCCTCTTTCTCAATCGTCCCCACCCGGCCGCCATCCTGTATGTCCTTCTAGCACCCTGCCAAGGGGCAGAAATAACCTGCTTCCTGGAATACATTTCTCAGGTCACCTCGGAACACCTCTGTGGGTCCTCTCACTGTGACCTGGCCTGACTCAGTCCTTTCTCCTCACTTGAACTAGGAAAACTTGATGGCGAGTTCTGGTGTCCTGCCTGCCGGCTGCTGTGTTGGCTACAGACACACCTCACCTAGAAGTCTCTCTGGAAACTAGACTCCCTCCCCTCCTGCCAAGAGCGCGTGCAGCTGCCAGTTGTCTAATCTGCACCTTCTATCTGAGTGGCACCGTGGACTAAGTGTTAGACTGCTCACTGAAAGGCCAGCAGCTGTGACCCACCAGTTGCTGCTTCTGGAAAGACATACAGCCTCAGAGACCCTGTGATGGAGCAGTTCTGCCCCATCCTGTACAGGGCCCCTGTGAGGTGGGGTCTGGCTGTGAGCTAGTTCAGTGGGTTGAAAAAGCACACAGGAGCATGGCTCGCTTAAGAGTCTCTGGGTGGCATAGATGGTTAAGTGCTCGACTAGTAATCGAAGGGTTGGCAGTTCAAACCCTCCCAGAGGTGCCTCCAAAGGCTGGCATGGCAGTCTTCTTCCAAAAGAGCACTGTGGAGCAGAGTTATGTTCTGTACACGGGGGCTCCTCTTGAGTTGCAATCCCCTCCACAGCAACTAGCAGCAGCGTGGCTCACTCGGGAGTCCCTCCAAAGACTAAGTTCACTGCCACTGAGGCGGTGCTGACTCATCGCCACCCAGTAGGACGGGGTAGAACTGCGCTTGTGGGCTTCTGAGCCTGCAACTCTTCATGAGACTAGAAAGCCCCATCGTCTTCCCACAGAGAGTCTGAGGGTTTCGAACTGCGGACCTTGCAGTTAGCAGCCCAACATGTAACTACACACTGCGCCATCGGGGTGCTACAAATGGTCAGCACGCTCTGCTGCTAACGGAGTGGTTGGACACTCGTGTTCACACCAAAGTCAATGACGGAGGTGCTTTGGAAGAAAGGCCTGGCAGTCAACTTCCAAACACCCATCCCTTGAAAACCCCATCCAGCACCCTGCTGCTCTGACACACGGCCGGTGAGCCTGTGCGCCCGGACCCACCCAGTGGCAGTGTGCTTGTTTGCGGCCAACTCAAGGCCCAGTACTGACACTGGCAAGGACTAGAACTGAGCAGGGCTGCCTGGCTCTCCTGGGCCCCCCAGGCTGGCAGGGTGCAGGCACTGCTTCCGCGCCAGTGTCTCGTCGGTGCAAACACAAATCAATTGCATTTCAGTCCCTGACCTTCCACAGGTTCCCACTTCCCTTGGTGTTAACGTTGGTTGCGTCATGTTGTGTAGTTTGTGAAACGTCTTCTCAGACCCTGTCAGATTGTATCTTCACACCACCCCCGAAGAAAGCTGTCGTGGGGCAGGGATTGTTGCCCTAAACTGAGCTGCATTCTAGAGAAGCAAACAAGCGACTCTCACGTGGAAGCGAGTAAATCCACTTTGGCTCAAGTCCGTGAGTCAGATGTTAGTTGGAGGCTTTCCCTGGCTCACCTCGCTGCTGGGGCTGGTCCCTTGCCCCACGCAGCAGGAAGACCACAGGCTGGTGGAAGCAGAGGTGATTGGGCTCTTGACGGCAGAGTGGAATGAGCCCAAGGTCAGCAGTCAAGGTGGCAGGCCATTGGCCAACGTCCAGAGAAGCAGAGGTCGAGGAGTTAGACGGAAGCTCCAGCAGGGGGAGGCAAGAAGGAAGGAGAAGCCAACTTCCTATGGACAACAGGGAGCTGGTGCAGGGTTGTATGAAGAGTCAGCCCGAGCTCGGTTAGCGAGAACGTCCGGCTTGTGCATAGGCTAATACCGTGGGGCTCGACGAGGCACGCAATGGGCGCCCGTCTTGATGACGAGCACGCTGCTTTCCCCGGGCCTGAGAGCGCCTTTCTCCACTTAAGATCCCCGTCCCTGCTGCGTGAACCCTGGTCCCCACTGTCCAGGGAGACTTAAAGGGCCCTCCTTTCCTACCTTATGAAAAATAGTAAAATGCAGTTGAAAGTGGCAGGCCCCACCCATTCTGGATACATTGGTCAGAAGGATTCCTCTTTTTAGCTACTTCCTCTCTCATTGGCATGTTGTTTGTTGGGTGCCATTGACTTGATTCCAGCTCACAGTGACCCCTGAGGACTGAATATAACTCCCCCAGAGGATGGTTTCTCTGGTTGCCTTTCCTAGGTAGAGGCCGTACTTTGGGCTGTCTCTCCTAGGCTGGGCTCTTCCCTGGAGCCTGGCTGCCAGGACTTTCTCTCGCCCAGCTGCTGGGCCCAGCGTGTCCTGGTTGGCGAGCAGCCGGGAGTTGAACCCTGACTCCGCAGTCAGGCAGCATAAGCGTGCTCCTCCAGCGGGCTGCCCTTTTGGAAACTTGGTCTCGAGCCTCTTCACAAACTTTGAATACACACCACCGCTTGTCGGTAACGCCCGGCTTGTAGTGACTGTGCTCTGAGTCAGCTGAGAGGCTCACAGGTCTAAAGATGTTCTCGTGTGAACATTGCCCAAGGTTTGAGTCACCTGCTTCAGATGGACCTATCCAGCCAAACGTCACATGCATGTTGCTGCGGTCAGGCGCCCCTGAGGTCATTCCAGCTCACAGCCACCCCATGTACAGCAGGGTGAAACGCTGCCCGGTCCTGCACCATCCTCAGTCCCTGCGGCATGTGAGCCCATTGTTGCAGCCACTGCGTCGGCTCAGAGTCTTCCTCTTTGTTTTTGCTGAACCTCCACTTTACCTAGCATGTCTCTTTCTGGGACATGTCCAAAGTACGTGAGGCAAAGTCTCAGTACCCTCTTCTCTTTTCTAAGGAGCTTTCTGGCTATATTAGCTCCAAGACAGATTTGTCCGTCCCTCTGGCAGTCCATGGTGTATTCTATCCTCTCCAGCAACACGGTACTTCACAGCTGTCAGCTCTCCTCCTGTCTTCCGTATTCCGTGTCCAGCTTTCCCGTGCATTCGAGCTGATCAGAAATACCGTGGCTTGTTGGGTCAGGCTTGCCCTCATCTTCAGTCACGTCTCTGCTCCTCGGCACTCTTGAGGGGGGGCGGGGTGTGTGTGTCTCAGGCCCTGCTGGAAAGAAGGAGCCCCAGGGTGTCGTGGACTAGCAGTTTGAACTCACCTGCTGCTTCTTGAGGAAACAATACTTTCTGTTTCCCTAAAGATGTATTTCCACAGACACCCAAAAGGGTGGTTCTGTCCTGCCCTGTGGGGCTGCTATGAGTCCGAATGAGCTTGATGGCAGTAGCTTAGGTGGGTACAGTGATGAGATAGTTAAGGTTTATTGTGCCAACCTGGCCGATAAATACATGTGGGATTAACTGAAGGGCAGAGAGATAAATGGCTTGGTGAGCCTCACCTTTGTAGTTCTCGGGTCTCTTGCTTTCTGATGGTTGGA